CCCAAAGATATTTGTGAATTGGCTCAGGGCTTTTTGTATCTTAGCCAGTGTGCTCAGGGAAAAGTTCCATGAGCATTGTTCCCAACTTTTTTGTTACCTTGATGGGATAGGGGACGCATATCAGATGTACAGGGGGTTGGCATGATGGAAATATGAAGAACAATTCCGCCAGCGGCTGTCAGCGAATCCTAGTATGAGGTGGGACCAGATGGACTTGCGTCTCTGGATGAAGCTGATGATGGCGCAGAAAGTTGAACCCTTTCAAGGGTCGGCCGGTGCGGGACCCGGTGCCTCCGCGTCGGCCGGACAAAAGAAGGGGTTCTGCTGGCTCTTCAATGAGGGCCAATGCAAATGGGGGGCTTCATGCAGATTTAAACATGTGATTTAAACAAGTGTTCCGGATGCGGCCGCACTCATGGAGCCAACGGGTGCTTCAAGAGAGGAAAACCTTCCTCCGGCAAGGGGTGTCACTGGGACATCGGCCCCCTCTGTTACCGTTGGGGGCAACCCTGGTGAAGGCCGGCAAGATGTTGCCGTGGCTAAGGCGGTACACTAATCAAGAGGACACAAAGTTTTTGTTTCATGGTTTTTCTGAAGGTTTTGTTATCCCGTTCAAGGATAAGGGGCCGGGGTGTTCGAATCTTAAATCGGTCCGGGAGCATCCGGGGGTGGTTCGCGATAAGTTGAGTAAGGAGGTTCAGCTGGGGAGGATGGCGGGGTCGTTTACGTACCCACCATTGGCGGACTTGCGGGTGTCTTCGGTGGGGGTGGTCCCCAAGAAGGAGGCAGGCAAGTTTTGTTTGATAAATCATTTATCGTACCCAAAGGGGGCGTCGGTAAATGATAATACTGATGCAGCCCTGTGTTCTGTGTCCTATGCATCATTCGCAATGCTGTTGAGTTGGTTCGGAAGGCAGGACACGGGGCGTTGATGGCGATGGTTGATGTGGAGGCAGCGTTTAGGCTGCTTCCCATACTCCCAGACTGCCACCATCTATTGGGGTGTTTGTTCGAAGGGGGCTATTTTGTGGATTTATGTTTGCCTATGGGCTGTTCCATTTCTTGTTCTTATTTTGAAAAGTTCAGCACATTTTTGAAGTGGGTAGTGCGATTGGAATCAGGTGGAGGTGCGTTAGTGCACTACCTGGACGATTTCTTATATGTTGGCCCGACGGACTCCGACCCCTGTGGTCAGATATTGAGGGTACTACAATGGGTTGCTTATTCCTTCGGAGTTCCTTTGGCGGAGGACAAGACGGTTGGAAATTGACTCTGGGGTTGGAAATTGACTCTGTGAAAGGGGAATGTAGGTTGCCCACGGACAAGTTGATTACGCTCCGCCGGATGGTGGAGGCAGTGAGGGGTGCGAGAAAAGTGTCCCTGCGGGGGCTGCAGTCCCTGTTGGGAAGCCTTAATTTCGCTTGTATGGTGATTCCCATTTGAAGAGTTTTTTGTAGGCTGCTAGTTTGAGCTACGAGAGGGGTACGGTTGCCGACTCACTATATCAGGGTGACGGCTGCCATGAAAGTGGACTTGGAAGTATGGGACCGTTTTTTTTAAGAGATTTTAATGGTCGGGTATTCTTTACGGACCCAGCTGCTTCATCTGAGGCCATTGGGTTGTTCACGGACGCATCAGGAAGCGTAGGGTATGTCATTTAACATTGTTTTCAGGGCGCGGTATGTGCGCGGGTTTTTGAATGTGGTGGCTGATCCGCTGTCTCGTTCACAGTAGTAGCGCTTTCGGGAAGCGGTGCCGGACGTGCAGGATGCGGGACAGGCTTTTCCGGGAAGAGATGTGGCGGTGCGGGTCTTGCTTGGGGATTCATAATGAGTTCCTTGGCGCCGGGCACCTGGGATTTGTGCATTAAGGTTTGGAATGAATGGGATGAGATGGTAGAGCAGGCTGGGGTGGCCCGCTCCTCGGTGGGCCGGCTGGATGCGTTGTTGATGTCGTTTGATTGTGAGACTATCATCTCTGTCCACAATATACCGATACATGTCGGCCCTGGCGTTTTTATTTAAGTTCAATGGTTGGGAGGATGTTACCAAGAATTAGTCTTAGTACGTCAAGCGCTGCAGGGTTTTCGGAAAGGGAAAAGGTCGGTGGACACGAGGAGGCCGGTGTCGTTCACCGTCTTACAGAAGCTGGTGGAGGTATTGCCGGGAGTTTGTTCTGTTTGAGGTGGTTTTACTTTCCGTGGCTTTTGTTTGGGCGTTTTTTGGGGCCTTCCGAATTGGGGAGTTGGTCAGTGCCAACAAGTCAGGGCTGAGTGGGATTCGGTGTGAGGACGTGGTCGTCGAACTTGATACGGTCGAGACACGGTTGGGCCGCTCCAAGACGGATGTTTTCGAAAAAGGTTGTTCGGTGGTGCTGTTTGTGTTACCTGGGTCTGGGGTTTGTCCGGTGTCTTGTGGGGCTAAGTTTCTAGTAATCCGCCCCGGGGTGAGGGGTTGCTTTTTAGTGCATGCTAATCGTTCCGTGCTGCCTCGTTTTCAGTTACCGCTTGGGTTGGTTCCAGATTGGGCCTGGATCCCAAGCAGTTCAGGATAGGGGAAGTGGGAATCCATTCGGTTCCGTTCGTATGTAAGGCCGGACAAGTTGGTGTGATGGGGGTTGGTGTGGGATGGTGTGGATGTTGCTCTGCTGTGTCACTTTTTTGTTTCCTTTTAGGTTGGGTTGCCTGGCTGGTGGGACACTCGTAAGTCTACTGGGCGCAGAAGAGGGCCGCAGTTCAGAGACAAGGAGCACAGCTGGGCTTTCCTCTGGAGATGGTGGCGTTGGCTGGTTTGGCTTTCAGGGATTTAGTTGGCAGAGCATTAGTGGAGAGATTTTTAGGAGGGTTGTGGGGGGGGGCCTCCCCGAATGTGGTGTTAATTCATGGTGGGGGGAATGATTTAGGTTTGGTTCCCCAAAGGGAGTTGGTCCGGACTGACCTCCAGAGTGCCCTGGGACAGGAAAGATCTTCTATCAGTGTAGAAGAGCATGATCTTCAACTATCCAGGAAGGTGGGGTGCTGCCTGTAAAAGCACATCTGCGCTTTTACAGAGCCTTATCCTCGGGCTCTGAAAATTGTGAGTGTGTCTGCTTATATTTACTTTGCATCGAGCACCTTAAAAGTACCATCTGCAATAGATCTGTTCTGGTTTTTTTTTCTCTTTTCATATTGCCCCACATCGAGATCTATATAAACATAATTAAGATACATCTAGCTGAGGAGTATATTTACCAGTGTTATTCCATTCATGATCTTATTACAATGTTCCTCTTGCCCAAGTGTAGTGTCGATTCCTTTTCCTTTTTTTGACCTGCATAGTACTGAGACATATTTGTACTTTAACCCAACTTTGTCTTGGAGTGTCCAGTGGGTATAATCATTCTCCTTACCAAGTCTTCTAAAGTTTTATTTTGTTTTGTTTTTGTAAGCTCCTGCCATGCTGAGGACATGCATTACATCTTATATATATTACATATAGGAATCAATATATAACTATTGATAGTGCCAGCTTGATTTGTTCCACCTACTCTTCTCTAAGACTTAATACAATACATCTGACTTATATTTACTGGAGTTGACTCGTTAATCCACAGTAAAATAACAGTGCTCCTCAACCCTCTCATCAAGGCACATCTAACAGTTCAGGATGTAGGGATTACCTAGGTGTGTTTGAGGTGTTTGAAAAAAACAAAACACACACCTCAAACACATGACTTGAAAGGGTTTATTTTTCTTTTTCTAAACACATTAGACACACCTGGGTAATCCCTACATCCTGGACTGTTAGGTGTCCCTTGAGGAGAGAGTTGAGGAGCACTGATCTTAATCCTTGGATTGGTACTCAAAATGGCTTCCTAATTCTCCTATAACAGGTCCCCAGTGGTTGATACAGACATATGTTCATCAAGGCTTCCATGTATTTGTTCACCATAAGTTACTTACTTTAGTATCACTGTTTTTACCAGTAAAATGGACATCTTGGAAGGCTCTAGGGAAGCTCTTTTTTAAAAATGAACTTTTAACATGCATTTGGTTTAAATATATGAATAGGTCCCCAAGTTAATTTGCCAACTGAAGAATGGGTCTCCAAGCAAATGTCATGCATATAGTTTGGGATCCTGTTATAAAAAATTAATAACCACTGATGTAAAAGTTTAACCATAACACCTTGGGGTCCATTAATAAAAAAGAGAGTTGTCATGAGATAAAAACAACTTGTTAACTTCAGACTAGAATAATGGAGCTGGGAAAACATTCCACATAGTTAGATTTATTTGTTTAAATATGTCAAGTTGCCGGAGGTCTTACTTTGCAGTATTCATGGATGACAGCAATCGACTTATCTGTCTGGTCTTGACTGTTATTGGAGAGATGTCCATAGAACCATCGTCAACATGCTTTTTATTGAAGACAGTGATAACTGGTCCCAATAAGGAATAACACAATGGCATTTCAATTGGCCATTAAAAAACTTGTTCCTTATTACTCCACATTGAAATGAAAAATTAGAGTGGACACAAGAGGGTAAATGGGAACAAGAACTCACTAAACATATGTGTTTCATGTTACATGGGCACTTCCTCAAAGAATTCTCTGGCTATTGTTTTTCCATATTCAAGATAGTGGTGATCATAGAAACATAGAATGTGACGGCAGATAAGAACCATTCGGCCCATCTAGTCTGCCCAATTTTCTAAATACTTTCATTAGTCCCTCGTCTTATCTTATAGTTAGGATAGCCTTATGCCTATCCCACGCATGCTTAAACTCCTTTACTGTGTTAACCTCTACCACTTCAGCTGGAAGGCTATTCCATGCATCCACTACCCTCTCAGTAAAGTAATACTTCCTGATATTATTTTTGAACCTTTGTCCCTCTAATTTAAGACTATGTCCTCTTGTTGTGGTAGTTTTTCTTCTTTTAAATATAGTCTCCTCCTTTACTGTGTTGATTCCCTTTATATATTTAAATGTTTCTATCATATCCCCCCTGTCTCGTCTTTCCTCCAAGCTATACATGTTAAGATCCTTTAACCTTTCCTGGTAAGTTTTATCCCGCAATCCATGAACCAGTTTAGTAGCCCTTCTCTGAAGCCTCTCTAAGGTATCAATATCCTTCTGAAGATACGGTCTCCAGTACTGTGTACAATACTCCAAGTGAGGTCTCACCAGTGTTCTGTACAATGGCATGAGCACTTCCCTCTTTCTACTGCTAATACCTCTCCCTATACAACCAAGCATTCTGCTAGCATTTCCTGCTGCTCTATTACATTGTCTGCCTACCTTTAAGTCATCAGAAATAATCACCCCTAAATCCCTTTCCTCAGATGTTGAGGTTAGGACTCTATCAAATATTCTGTACTCTGCCCTTGGGTTTTACGTCCAAGATGCATTATCTTGCACTTATCCACATTAAATGTCAGTTGCCACAATTCTGACCATTTTCCTAGTTTACCTAAATCATTTGTCATTTGGCTTATCCCTCCTGGAACATCAACCCTGTTACATATCTTAGTATCATCAGCAAAAAGACATACCTTACCATCAAGACCCTCTGCAATATCACTAATAAAAATATTAAAGAGAATGGGTCCAAGTACAGATCCCTGAGGTACCCCACTGGTGACAAGTCCAAGCTTCGAATATCACTATCTTGAACTATCTTGAATGGAGATAATTGTTTGTTCTCTGCTACTTTTGCTTGAATTCTACCAGCCGCATTCTCAACTCATTGCAACTCATTATTTAATGACCAAGATCCCTCGTGAAAGCAGTGACCTAGTGGAAGGAAAGACGACGAGATGTAACCTTTTTGGAGGCAATCATTAAGGATTTAAGAGGAGAATCGAGACACAGCACTAAAGACCAACTGAGGTCATCTCTACAGGAGACAAAACTCGTTATGGCAAAGTCAGAGGACTTTTAGAATTGTGTATTCATTGCTTTTATCTAAAATATTGTTTTTATTTTATTATTTTGTCAATTTTCTCTTTATCTACCCACACAAACACAGCAATTTAACACACAGACAATATTTACAACCACGCACAAATAAATCAGCCCCCTTATCCTCCAGATATACCATAACTAAGTGATGCGACTGAAGGAGAAGAGAACCAGCCTGTAGAAAGTGTCCTTTGTTTCTGATGGGGGAGCAGGAGAGCCGCGTACTGTGAGCACAGGCTGCTTCCTGCTACCAATGGAAGGTTTCCTTTGTTCACAGGTAAGGGGCAGCTGGGATACCAGGTCATGTCCCAACTTCCCCTGCCTGCCGGAATCAGTGCGTTTTGCTCCTTGAGCAGATAATAATCGACAAGAGGATCCCAGCAGACCAATGACTGAACTGGGTGGGTGCTTAAGAGCCACTCACCCAGCACACCTGCCCCAGACAGGAGCAGCCCACCAAGAAACCTCTCAGTGGGTGCCCCAACAGGCTAGCTCCCCAGGTGAATTCCTTATTCACCTAATGGCAGCACCAGCCCTGACTATTAAGATCCCTGGCCCTCCTTAACCCTGTAAAATAAAATTAAACTTACCTGGAATCCAGTACTGGGTGAACTAGCAGCTAGCCCCTGGCACAGAAGTGAATATATCTCATTATGTGCAGTGTTTCAATTTACAGATTCTTACCACCATAACCACTTCTAAAAGTAGTAGTCATTTATACTTGCCTATCTGTGCAAAATGGATAAATGTGAACCGGACAGTAATAAGGGATAAAGTGGTGGTTTGCTTTAAATACAGCAATATATGTGGTCTAAAAAGCTATCACAGCAGAATTGCCAATTGCCGATTCACACCCCATGCACTGAGATAGTACCACACACAGCCTCTTCTCAATGGCGTATATTGCAACCTATCAAATGGCTAAGAGGGGCACTGAAACTATGACCAAAAGACTGGGAATTTCCAGAAAATGGTGACCATTTGGACTACTGAAGACAGAATTTAGAACATGACCAAAGTTAGTTTACACAAACTAATTTCTAATTTAAATTTATGGTAATACACTCAGACACACCATCAATTTGGACCACGTTGAAAGGAAAAGCATTAGGATAGAAAAAGAGGGGCAGACAGGTTTAGGCCTAAATTTGGGACTGTCCCTTACATTGCAGTAATGACAGGATTTAGAGGTAAGTGGTAAAAAAACTATTCAGGTATTGGCAGTTTAGAATCTGGAAGCAGAGGCGGCTCTCTAATTAGGCGATTTAGGCGGCCGCCTAAGGCCTCGCGCTGGCTGGGGCCTCGCGGCCGCCTAAATCACCCAAGGGCAGACTGACATGTCGGATCCTCGGTCCATGACCGAGGATCCGACATCAGGGGGAACCCGGCGGCTTGCCCTTTATGCCGCCGGGTGCGAGGCCCCCTCAGTCCGCCCGGAGAGCCAGCCTTCAGTCTGCAGCTCCTCCGGGTGTGAGCTGCAGACTGAAGTGTCTCACGATCCCCAGCCAATCAGAGCGTTGCCGCGGGTTTCCACGGCAACGCTCTGACTTCTGGAGATCGCAAGACTCCTATCACGTGGTCTGCAGCTCACACCCGGCGGAGCTGCAGACCGGGTAGGAGGCCCACCGGACCACCAGGGAGCCAGGACACTGGACCACCAGGGACACCTGCAAAGGTAATTACCCCTCCCTCACTAAGTCCCCTGTCACCCCCAAAGCCCCCTGTCACCCCTCAAAGTCCCCTGTCACCCCTCAAAGTCCCCTGTCACCCCTCAAAGTCCCCTGTCACCCCAAAGTCCCCTGTCACCCCCTCACCAAGTCCCCTGTCCCCTCTCACCAAGTCCCCTGTCACCCCCTAAGTCCCCTGTCACCCCTCAAAGTCCCCTGTCACCCCTCACCAAGTCCCCTCTCACC